GGAGAGGGGTCTCGGGCTCCGCGCGGCACGGAGGGTGCGGAAGAGCATCCCCGAGCATCCCGCGGGGACCCCGCTCCGGAGGCCTGCCGTGTGCGTAACCAGGGCTCTCTGGAAAGGAACCAGCCTTGCTTACAGGTTTATCTTTTGCCGGAGACCCCGATTTCCTAACTCCCCATTCAGTCTAAAATAACTCTTTGGAAAATTTCAGCACTACAACTTTTGAACACCTGCTTGTACGGGCTCTCTGCATGGCACTGGTGTATGCAGGCACTTGCGCAGGGGCATCAGTGGCAGAAACAGGTACCTTGGGTGAAATTTGGCTTTTGGGAGAAAGTGCTACAAAAGCAAAGCAAAGCAAACCAAACCTTGACTTGCATATCCCTGTACCTCCTCACAGATACAGCAGCCCTAACGTAAAAAAAAAAGACTTTGGATTCAGATTTTATCTGGGAAGAAATTCGCACCCTGCAGCTGCATTTCGCACATGGCATTTAGTGTTTTGAAACAGCTCCTTGATCCTAGAGCAGCTCTGTGCAGAATTTTTACTGCAATGAACAGATCATGCTCAGCTTCGTATCAATAGATGTCTCTGCTGATTTCGTATGTTAGCCAGCTTATGGTCAAAATCTTTTAAATGGAGTCATATTAGGAAAAATCCCAATAACTCATTCAAAGTTACATAGTTGAATACTCACAACACTCTGTTGCTACAACTAGAATTCCAGACACATCTAACCACAGTAAAGCATCATTCTGCAGGTCTGCAGTAGCATTGCAGGCAATGTGGTAATTTTGTTTAAGGAGAAGTAGTTTAAATGAAAAGTGGATTGAGCAAAATCTCAAAAACAATCTTCCAGGTGCTCTGAGGAGTTAAATCAGTATAATGTAGCAGAGCTGTGTCAGTTGACCTTGGTTGAAGCTCTGGTGAAATAGGTTTGTTCTTTCACTCATCACAAGGCAGAAAGAGATTATAATGCTGAAAGGTGAATTCATGTCACAGTTCTATGACTGAAGATACAGTGACAAAAGAAAAAACCCCATATAGATAAAATATTGTTAAAATAGACGAAAAGGATGAAAGTAGAAGGTGGAAAGAAGAGGAGGAAGAAAAGTCTTTCTAGAATATTGCTCTATTAAAAACACTAATCAGCAATCAGTACAGCAAGGAAATATAATCAGGCTGGAGTTTCTCAAATATCTGTGCAGCAGGAAAAGATTCCTACAGAATTCAGGCAGAATTAATCTGATGGGTCAAGATAATTTTAATACCTAGCTATTTAAATTTATTTATTCAGCCTTCTCTCTAAAAAGAAACCCAGGGATCTTTCAATGAACTTACTGTCTACAGAAGTAAACTTTAAAACCAATATGGAGTCCACAGTGCAACCCTCTGGATTTCTCATGTTCAGTCTGAAAGTACAACTTGATGACAGAAAAATAAAGCTGTGATTACCCCACGAAACATGCATATGCCATGTATTTGGGGGGAAAAAAAAAAAAAGAGCAGCAGCGAAAGTCTGTGGTTTCTGACTGAAGGAATTTTCTTGTTGTGGGAAAGGGTGATCAGGTAGAAATTTTGACCCTGGACCTGCAATTGGATCCATCAAGCCTGACCTCTGTGCTCCTGCAGTGCTTGCTGGAGTCAGCAGAACTACATGCTAAGTGCAGGGATCTGTCCACGTGGAACTAACTGGGGATTTGGGACCTTCCACTTTCCTGCTGTGGAGGGAGAGTGAGTTCACCTCTGTGTAAATTCTGGAAGAGGAGCAAGAGATTTCCGTGAGAGAAACTTGCATTTATTTTTAGACTTTCTGTTCTCTCACTCAATCCCATAGAGATCATGCTGAATACAGAGTGCCTGCCTTTCTCCAACTACACATGCCTACCTGCTAACACCAGCTCATCACTGCTGAAAATCAGTGTGCGCTGTATTTCTCTAGTGAGAAAAACCTCACATGTAGTTTGTAGTCATTGTCCCATAGATGCTGCTGCAGTGGCTAATCCAGCTTTGAGTCGGTTTAAATGTTGTGTTCCAAATATGACCTTTGTCAGTGGCATGTCCACCACTGTGGAGCCCAGTGGTTGTCTTGTGCCCCTCCAAAAATGCTTTATTTCTTGGCACCCTGGGACAGGGTGGTCAGTGGACAACTGCAGCTCCATGCAACTGGACAATGTTCTGAACGCACTTCTTCATTCAGAGCTACATATCCTTATTGCTAGCAAGGCTGCATGGATGCTCAGTGACTTCCAGCTGCCAGGTACATCCTGTACCACCTGCCCATGCTCAACACCAGGCTTCTCCAGCCTGCAGGAATGAGATCAGTGAGATCAACCACAGATCGATGACAACTAGCAGGAGCTGAGACAGCTGTGTTGGCAACTAAGAGAAAGTTCATACATTTCATAATGGACACCTGCTTTTAGCTGTGCTATTTCAGGTGAGGAGACTGATCTGCAGAAACACGAGCAGCACACCACTCAGTTACTTTGGACAGTGACCATGGCCGTCTAGGCCGTTTTCTGTGGTGCCTGCTTCAGCAGGTGCGGGCTGAGAACAGCTTTTGGTTTGAGTGCTTTGAAGGAGATGTGCAAAACTGATGGCATCCTGCATGGGATCTGACTTGTCTTGCTGTGTCAGGGCACTTCTAGGCACACTCAAAAGCAGATCTTGAAGAATATGTGGAAATACAAGATAAAAATGAAAGAACTCATGGCGTTCTCTTTGCTCTGAGGTTTAGACCTGAGCAAAGCTTTTTTGGGATCTCCATTCTGGACTGCAGTATCTCAGAGCTTATGCACCTCATGCTTTGTTAGATACAGCAGTAAACCTATTTGTGGATACAATACCTGGAATCACGTTGACTTTGAAAGTTGAACTTGAACAAGAAAGTTCACTGCAGCCCATTGTTGCCTGGATGCTTGGGGGGAATCTACAGCCTGAGTTGTGTGCCTAGGGCCCACATTCAATCAAGAAGGGACCTCAGGAGGGGTTCCACCACAGCTCTCACATAGGTGAGGGTGCAGCAGGGAGAAGCTGTGATTGTTAAAACCCTTAAAACTGGTAGGACCACAAACCTCTGTCAAAGCTTCAGAAAGGTGCAACTTTCTTTAGGGACATTAACCTAGCAGTTGATAGGACTCCTGGTGGGAGACAGTGCTTTGCATCCCATCAGCTGGGGAAGGAAACTGAATTTGATGCATGCAGGATCTCTTAGAGGTCTGTGTAAAAATGGTCAGAGGTCACTATTTGTATTATTTTCTCTGTTCTGGGATGCTCTGGTTCAAGCAGGGTGCTCCAAAAATGCCTACAGGACTGGTTGTACAGGTGAACCAAGCAGAGGAAGGATGTCTGATCTGCAGACTGGACTTATTATTGAGTGAGCTGGTCTAAGGAATCAGACAGAATTAAGACATTATAGGCACTTTCATGGATCAGATGCTTGAGTACTTTTGAAGTTTCCCAAGCAACCAAGAGGGAAAATATATCAAGAATAAATCAAATGTTTTCTAATGATGTTGAATGTCCAGGAGCAATCATGACCTTCCGCAAACTTCTTGTGCATTCACAGTTCATACTGGTTTCAGCAAGTCTGAAAATCAGGCTTCTTGTTGGGGAACCCTAATATGGATTTAGATTCTCAAATTTAATAGCTTTGCTATTAATAATTTTGTCATTAAATAATGAATAGCTCTGCTGTTAAACTGCATAGCAAAGGGCTAATGAATTTTGAGGGAGAAAAAGAAGGGATTGGTTAAATATCTTCAGTGATACTGAACTCTGTATCAGTACCAACATCTTGCTCACACTTGCTTATCATGCAAGTGTTTAAAGAAAAGATTCTTGGGGATTAAAAAGCTGGTGTCTCTTGGAATTGTCATCTGTCATCCATGGTTATTTTATGAAGACAGTGGGTATATTTCCTCATAACGTGGAGGTGACAAGTCATCACAGGCATAGTCTTCCAGCAGTTCTGGCTCATCAGAACTGTCCTCTGACCTGAAAATAGGAAAAGAAGCAGGCACAAAAAGAATTCATGAAACACAAAGCATGCAAGTAACTTCAGTGCTGTGTCCTATCAGCCTTATCTGGGCAAAGCACTTCCTGACTTCTTGAGAAAATGCTACGAGATGAAGTTTTACTGCAATTCAAGCGTTTGCTGTGTTATTTTTGTAAAGTATAAAAGTGTCAGGAGGTTACCTTTGTTTTCAGGCTTTCTATACCTATCACACGTTGCTGAAGATGATGGGTCAGTCAGCAGTTTTTCAAACAGACATTGATAAATGAGCTAAAAGTGACTTGTATTCTAGGAAGGATATAATTCTAAGTAATTCATATAATTAGAATATTTTTCCTTCGAGGCAAGAACAATATAAACTTATTTTGTGTCTGATTAAAGCAGTTTCATACTGCTCTGTAATATCAGCCATCTTGTTTACGCCCCAAAACTAGGAAAAGAGTAAAGGCTGAAAGGTTGCTACACGAGCAGGGGAGCGTGTTGTGACCAGATGTAATCAGGAGAGAGAGCACCTGGTACCAAACTGATTCTTGAATTGTCATAAAAATGGCGTTTGTGCACTGACTCGTGATTGTGTTTGAGTGGAAGCCTCTGGCTGTGCATATAATAACCTTCTGGTCAACAGCCTAAAGGTAGTAAGATAAGCACAAAACCCCCCATGGACAGGAGCATATATACTAATATCTTCAAAAATAACAAGAGATTTAGTAGCCTGAAAATTGAAGTAAGTGAATTTAATTTGGATAAAAATGCTTTCCAGAAAAAGCATGTCTCCATAGTCTTTACTCAAGAGATACTCCTAACAAATAAAAAAAAAAAAGTCTGAAGAAGGATAACACCCCGGACTAGTTTTTGTTTCCTTTGAAACCACATACGGCACTTAAAATACTCAGAAGCCTGTGTCCAAACACACTAAGGCATTTCAGAAGATGTACCTCCGATTCCTGGTATTCTCTGCAGGATAAGCAGCATAGTTCTCGTCTCCGGTAAAAGCCGGGTTATCCAGGGGGTAGGCAGGGCAGAAGTGAGCGGAGCCCAGGGTGGGAACTGGTGAGGCACTGGGGGAAACAGGACCGCAGCAGCTGAGCACCGGGTGAAGGTATCCAGGACTCACAGCAGCGCCTTCCTGGGCTGGGTACGGCGGAGGGATGTACTGTACCACTGTGGCGCCGTGAAAAGTTATAGGCTGGTTAATGCCGGTGAAGACAAAGGACTGTCCACTTGCAGTCTGGTCGAGGTCTGATGTATTTTCCTCTCTTTCTTTACAGGGCTTGCATGTAAGCATGTTAAATTTACAAACAGCAATCAGAATAAAAGTCACCCCAACAGACAGCAGAATAGGCCCTAGTAACTGGGTCCACTCCAGGTGAGTAACGCCATCGTATTTTATCCATCCCATCACGGTGAAAGTGATCCCTACCAGTCCCAAAAACACACCTGAAAAGAGCAAAGTGGCACCGGCTTTATCCCCATCTGACACCAGGACATCAGATCTGTTCGGCTGATAAGGAGTGACAGAAAAGACATTCAAGGAGAAATCTTCCATGTTGTTGTTGTTCTGCTCCATTAGTGAGTATAACCTATCTTCTGCCTCAAGAGAAAGGGGGCTTGTAAGGGACTTGGCAGAGCATTTAAAGTCGAAGGTTCAGGTTAGTTATACAAGAACTTTGTGCGTGTATGGTTAACAGAGTCCATCATGTGAAAGAATAAACTTTGCTTAGAAGAATAAAGGTCTGGGAAGTGAAGCCTGAAGCAACCACTAAAGACTTCTTGAATTACCACCATCATTTCCGAAACGGCTTCACCCTTGCATGGCTGCTTATCTCTTTGTTTATGCTCTTCTTTAATTTGGCACCCACTGATACTTCCTCACTGCCCATGCCAGATGGGAGAGAAAAGAAGCTGCAGCCCCTGCAGCTTTTCCTAGGCACCCTGCCAGCCGATGCATCCAACATATGGACAGCATACGTTTAGCAAAAAGCAGTACGGCGACTCTGGCTCTCCTTGGGCCACCACTCCAACAACCCAGACCTCCAGGAAAATGCATGGCCATTGCTGGGAGGGCGTTGCTGTGCTCTGAACCGTGACATTTATAGCCACACCTGGACCTCTGTTGCAGCTTGTTCTGCAGTCCAAAACTTTCATGGTTTAAAATACCAAAGTAGGCTTTCTGATATTTTGCCAAGGGGGTACAGTGTGTGGGTGGGAGTGTAAGGGCAACAGGATGATGAGTGCAACAGGGTGATGGGAGAGCTGCTGGTTGTGGGAGAAAAGGTATTTCAACCAAGCCAAAGCTTTCCAGGTGTTTGAAGGTAGTATAATTGCTCTGTAATGTCCCCTTAATTGTGGACATTTTTTGTTGTGGGATCTCTACCCCTTCCTCAAAGTTTATACTGAATAAAGCCCACATACCCCGAATAGCACACCACTGTAGGAAATGAGAAAGCATCTCCTGTAATGTTAAACCTGGTAAAGTGAGAGATCTTATCCTGTTCTCAGAAGTACCTAGAAGTTTTTTGGTGTTTTTTTTTTTTACATACAATGAATTGTTCTGTTGAACATATGTCCTATATATTAAACAGACAGATAAATTGAATGTTGAGATTTTCTGTTTCCTAACAGTTTCAGACTAAAGTAATTGCTGTCAGAGGGTTCTGGTAGAAAGTCTTTGTATAATTCCTTAAGGAGGAAAAATCACCAACTACTCAATCTGTTTTGGCTAACATGGCAGGAGTACACGCAGGGCAGAGATTACTCCTCAGGTGGTAGAACGTATAATGCTATTTCCTGCTACCAGCAGCTCTGGGGAAGCAAGCTTATCCTGTGATTTATAAGATGAAAATAGCTCTAGAACTAGAAAACTCATCTTTCAGACTGCTTCTTCAAAAATCAGTAAAAGTGCCTTTAGTCTACTCTGCATTCATGTGTGTATTTCTCATTTGTTAGCAGATAGACCTGGAGGAATATTAGTCCTGGACTTCTTTAAAAAATGTCTGGGAAGTTTCCAAAGCCAGTATTATGTCTCTTCCATTACCAAGGGTGCCAACAAATTTTCTGACAAATATAAGATCAAGATCAGCCCTTCTCAATACTCAAGATCAGCCCTTCTCCCAGCACCGAGTCTAGTCAGGACTCTCTGCACCACTTGAGTGTTAGGGCTTGCAATGCAGTGGTTTCATATGATGACAACTAAATTAGAAAGTGCTGAAATACTAGATAAGCTGTCTTTGTATTGGTAATTATAGCCAAAACCTAAGTTACCTTTAACCTTATATTTGGTAAACTTAATGGAATGAACTTCTGTTGCTGCTCTCTGCAAGTCAGGTTTTTCCATTCCATGAATCATTCTTGTTGCTGTTTGCTGAATCTTCCAGGCTTTCCAACATTCTTTTAAAAGAAGCATTATATCATAATAGCTGTCTATCTAATGGTATATACAGATGTAGTATTACCTTCCTTCTCTCATTCATTCAAATACTCTGCAACTGCTACCTGCAACAGGATCGTGCTGGAGAATTTCCTCAGTCCTACGCAATGGTCCTTAGATACTGGCTGGAGTCACAGTTTTCCAAGTTGGGTGTTGGATCATCCCATGGCTGTCGCTCTTTGCCTCTGGCAAAGAACATGACTTCAAGGTTGTTGAACAAGTGCACAGCAGAGCTGGAAAATACAGGTGGTTTCTTCCAAGGCTACTTGTCACCTGAACTTTGAAAATGGGATGGAAAACACTATTTGGTGCAATAGGATCTAAATTAAAATTACACCTTTCCCTGTAAACTGCTCCCTCTTTCTAAGATATAATTTCCTCTCAGCCTCCACATATTTCTCCCATTATTTCCCCAGACAGTGGCAATGCTGCATTCAGGCAGCTGTCAAGGTCTTAAGAGATTACCAGATCACACTGATTTTTTAAGGCCAGTACTTTGCTTTGCCAAGTAAGAGTATGTTCTGGGAACTCACTTAAAGATGCTGATTTACTACATGCATCCCCTTTTATCTGGAATAATTCCTAAACAAATGAAAACAGTTTCATGAAACCTAAGGAATTGGTCAGAGTGAGGTTTTCAGAATGGGTGCAATTTTCAGATCTCATTACAGTTTTGTTCCCATCTGCTTCAGGGACCTTGCCCCTGAACACAACAACTGCCTTGCTTTCTGTTCCTCTACGTAATTTTCTATCATCACAGATGCAGACTGTCCCTGCAGCACTTGCTGCTGGAAGCAGGTTTTCTGTAATGCTCTCTGCACCTCCTCAGTTCTCTAACCTGTTTCAAGAGTCATCCTAGTAAATACTGACAAGCCTTCCCTTAATCCTTTTCTCCTCTCCATCTGCTATTAATTTTTACATAGTTGTTCATATTATCAGCCTATTGTAGTGAGGTTTTATTTTCTTACGTGCCTGTAATATAGTCAGGGACTTAGTCACAGAACATGCAAAAGATGTTGTGTAAAAGAAAATTATACCATGGTATTGCACACTGATTGGCTTTAAAACGAGTAGGTACAAAGCACCACTCCAAAACAAAACATTCAATTGTAGGGAGATTAAGGAGCCAATGATTTGACTGAGAGAGACTTTTTCCTAGAGACAGATGACTGTATGTGGCATCTCTAGTGGAAAATACGAAAACATTATGTAAAAGCAGCACCTAAAGAACGACCATGAGTGGGCCTTGCACCCTGGGGCCCTGTACCACTGCACTGCCAGCCTCAAAGCATAAACAAGCTGTGAGGAGCAGGTTCAGCCAGGTGCCCACAACTGCATCTACATGCAAGGTGGTTTTATATGCTCCTAGGGAATGTTGTCTTGTCAGCAGGCACACCAAATTGAAGGTATTTCCATACCTAATTAACCAGATACATGCATGTATGATAGAGGGAGGGGCAGAGATCTAGATGAAGGCTGACACGTTCACTGCAGAAACATGGAGGTATTGTCAAAAATGTCTGTCTGGACACTGAAATGTCCCCTAAGCCCTGACTCTGAGAGGTAGGATGGAAAAGGGATAGATGGATAGATGAATATATGGATTTGATGGATGGATAACTTGGTGGATAAGGGATTGGCTGGACAGTTGCACTAAAGGAGTTGTGGTCAACAGCTTGATGTCCAAATGGACACCAGTGATGAGTGATGTTCCTCAGGGGTCAGTATTGGCACTGTTTAACATCCTTGTCAGTGACATG